TGGAAAGACAAGAAGCCCTTCTTACATACCGATCCTTCAGATTGATTGCTAACAGCTGTGGCTCTGATAAACTGCTGAGTGCAATCTGCCATCAGTTTCTGCGCTCAACCCATCGATCAACCTGCCAAACATCTTCAACCGACTCTAATCTATTAGACTAGTCTAGTCTGCAACCTGCTCCAGGGTTTCTGTAACACTCCCAAGACTGTTAAAGACCTCAATAAATACAAACTAAGACCAAACAACCACATTTTGTGTCACATTAGAGTTTTTATTTTTTTAATGGAAACCTGCAGACACCAGTGGCAAACCTGTTCTGCAGAAGCTTTGAGTTTATCAGTTATCCAAAACTACACTCCCACGTTTTAATAAACTATAATAATAATAAACTTTAAAGTGCCAATAAAATCAGAGGAAACAGAAATATGAGGTAACACAGGTAACCCACTCACCTGAAGAGGTCAAAGATGGTGAGGTACGTGTAGGCAGTTAAAGCTGAAACGACAAAACAAAAGACGGTCGAGTTAGAATTTTTGTAATTTCATGTATTTGAAGATTTATCTTCATCTACATTCTGGACGCGTGTATACGCATAAAAGAGGTAACTGACAAGAATAAGACATTTAATAAAATTACCCACAACATTTAAATTGTCTTCATTTGGTGAATTAAATGTCATGAATACAACTCAGTGTATTAACCAGCATCTGTAATGAAGCGAGAGGTTGATTCATCAAAAACAGTTCTAACGTCAAACTGCGTCTGATGGAGTTTGGCAAAAACACACAAACTGAAACACAAAGTTAGTCTGACCTGCAGATCTGTTGCCATCATCTGGTACTTACAGTTGCAGCAGATCCTCAGAAACCATTAAATGTTTTTCACTGACTGTAAAGTGAGTGAAGGTGCTACAATCAGTTTGTTAGCAATGAACGGTCGGACACCCATCCATCAGGGTAAAGAGAACTGAACAAAGTTTGTACACAGAAGTCGAGCTCAGCGCTATAAAATGCCAAATCCACAGTGCTTGCCTATGAAAATCTAAAAATAAACATAAATTAAAAGCCAAAGTGAAATCTCTCCTTATAAATCGAACAGCGTTCTGTTCTATAATCTCCTCTCGCTGCCTGTTTGCATCCGTCCTTTAATCACTGCCATCATACGGTCACAGTTTGCTATTGTCTCTGGAAGCAAGGCCTGAATCTGTCGAGCTGAGCAGACAGCAGCTTTTCTTTGCTGTTTGCTGTAGTTAGCTTGTACGCATTACCAAGCTAACTACAGTAGCTTGTTAATGCGTACAAGCTAACTACAGTAGCTTGTTAATGCGTACAAGCTAACTACAGTAGCTTGTTAATGCGTACA